CCCCCCCCCCCCCCGCAGTTGTCCATGTTTTAAAAGAAAAATAGTGATCCTGGTAAAGTTCCCTTGTTGGGAAAGGACTCCAAGCTCTGGTTCCCAAGTAGACAGGATCCTGTCTGCAGCCCTGACTTGGGTACCTAAGCTCCAGAGAGGGGCAAGTTTACACTGAAAATGTGATTTGTGCACATCAAGTATAAAGCAAAGGAACTTTATGATGATGCAAGATGCTAAGCAGCTGTGACAACATCCTCTCAGCCAGTGTACAAGATTGAAAACTAAAAGCCTTCAAAACTAAAAAGCCAAGTTCTCATCTTCTGTAACAACTGCTATCCTTTGTGGACCAAGAGTAGAGAAGGGCTTGTAATGCATATTCTCTAAAGGGTTATATATTCCCCTTGCTCCAAGAAAGCTGGTTCTGAACATCTGAGAATCAAATAAATTCAAATCCCAGATGAATACCCTGCTTAATTCAGAACTGGTCTCTTGGCCAGCTTACTTCAGCTTGGCATGGACTACTAAGTACTAATTATTTGTTGCTGGGAACTATAAATGACCCACCATATGTAAATGGATCACAGAGGGAGGCCTAGTAGATTACACATACCTGTCTCCAGCTGAAATCAGTGGATAACTCAGTACCTTATAGAAAACAGAGCATTTTACAGGATTGCACCTTAATTTTGCATATGAATACATAACTGTACATGCAAAATGACAAACTGTGCGTAAGTACTCATCTCTGCACAGATTTTGCAGAAACAAGGTATGAAAATGTAGTTGCAATTGTCAAACTGAATACTGTAAAAAAGGATCTGTAAACAAAAAAACTTCATACTTAGAGATAGATGCAATTAATATCTTAAATCTTTCATAGCCTTTAGATACTTGCATGATAAATGCAACATCAAAATACTGTCAACTACTGTTATGATGGTAGAAATTTTAAATTGATCGATACATCACATTCTTTAACTAAGGCTTGAAAATATTTATGCAACAAAGATGTGTAATTACACTTAACTGCCTCATTTGTCATTTTTTTTTAAGCAAAGAGGATTTATTGTAGTTCATCATTTGTGGGAGATTTGACATGAGTCCCCAAAGCAGGCCCAGCCAACAGTATACACACAGGATGCCATCAAATAGCTTTTACAAACTGTTAGAGAGAGGCAGGCAAGGCAGAACAAGCCAGAAATGCTGAAGTTGCCAAACCTGACTTTTAAAATGATTATGCAGTTAAGTTGTGTTTTTCATTTTACAACCACAAAGTGCACAAGTGTCTTCCTGAAACTGAGCTCATTTGGGGCAGGAGCAATAATTCTGTGCACTTGTGCAGCAGTGTACAACCAGGGCCAGATTAATGCATAGGCAAACTAGGCACATGCCTAGGGTCTTAAGTGAAGAAGGGACCCAGGTGTGCTTCTTTTACATATTATAATTATTGAGTGAAAAAAGTAGGGGCCCTTGAGTTTATTTGCTTAGGACCCAATGAAGAGTTAATCCACCCCTGAGTACAACAGGCTCCAGTTTTGTTTGAGGCATGTAACTATTACTGTAGTATAAAAGTTTATTCATAATAATGATGGTGGTGGTGTCCTTTTCAGCAAGCAAAGCTAAATTTTGGGAAAAGCTCTTGGCGATTTGACATCCCTCTCCATTTTGATGAATTGTACTCTAACTTTGTGTGCGTGTGGAAATCTTTTAGTCCAATGTTACTTTGCGTTTAAACTTACCTGTTATGTATAAGTGATGATCTGCATAACATACAACTGCATTACACAACACCAGTCTGTTTGTCACGTGTACCTTCCATTAAAACAAACATTGGTTAAAGCAGTGTGTATACTGAACCAACATGCAGATAAGTGCATAGTCTCTTTCAGCCCCACTGTTACCTCTGAGGTGTTTATACTCTGGTTAACTGGCTGGAAAAGAAAGGCTATCAAAAGGCTGCTCAGAGCCTTGGACAGCGCAAGTGCTAGTTGGTTTCAGGGCTGCTACCTCCCTTCATTTTCAAGGCTTCCTACTATAGCCTGACAATGAGTGGAGCTAATATGCGGGACGTTAATACCACATCACTGTGTATGTAATGGGATGCTTTAAGCTGGAATAAACGCATACTCTAGCTAGTGCATGGTTGTCGATTCTAGCTGTGTTGAGACTCCCTATGGCTGATGAAGGGTGTTTGTGCCCAAAAGCTTGCAAAGAACTTCCCCCCCAACTATTTACTTGGTCTAATAAAAGCTCTCTCGTCTACCCAGAGACCCTTGCCTACTCTAGCACACGGCCTTTTCTCAGACCTTACGTGAAGTACACCAAGTATAAATAGCAAATAGCAAGTCTATATTAGCTGTGTGGGAACGCTCCTCATTTAGCCCTGTAAGAACTTCACAAACGGCAGCTACTGCAGGATGTGGGGCCGGAAGCCTTTTCTCTTAACCCACTTTGGTCTACTCCCGCAAACACCGCTGTCACTGTTTTAACCCAGAGGAGGTAGAGGGGGTGGGAGTGGTAAATAAAATAGTTAAGAATTAAGTATCTCAATTAAATTACCCCAGAGGAGCGACTAAGGATGTCAGACGAGAGGTGGGGACTCTCATCTGGTGGTGGCTGGTCTCTTGTGGACCCCGTGGCTCCACCTGTCAAGCCTTGTACTCAAAACCGGCCCTCACCCTGCGCTCGGGCCCGAGGAGACGCCGCCCCGCAGGCCCAGCCCGGCCAGCTCCGGCCCCGCAGGCACTCTCCTGTGAGGCGCTCCCGTGCGCGGCGCCCCGGGGGAGGAGCTGGGCAGGGGGTGGGGAGCAGGAGGAGCAAGACCTGTGGCCCCGAGCAGGGCAGAGCTCCGCACCTACCTCCGCCTCGACCTTTCTCCCTCGGTCCCGCCGGCAG